ACCCTTTTGTTAATATTCGAACCCGCAAGCACTTCGGGACTCCGTGCGAATTCCCGCCGTCATTCAAATATACAAACCGCGCCCCAGAACTTATGCCGTGTGACACCCACCGGGACCATGTTTAGCTACCTGTCACGAGCTTAGCTGTGGAAGCATAGGACCAAATCATCTTCAAGCCTATAGTTACTTTGTCCAACGCCTTTTCTTGTCACTGGCGGGGTTGGTCACTAGTTACACCCTGTCATCTTGTGATTCTGGCTATATAGATGGTGCAGAGCTATGCCCCCGCCGCCTTATATAGCATTGCAGCACCAGATGAACGATTATTCTCTGGCGACAATGTGATTTTGTACATTCATGCTTCATGCGCTTATTACAAGTAGGACAAGCCAGTTTGTGACGAAGCCCGGCGATACATACCTCTCCTCCACCGAAGTATCGGAGGCAATGGACAACATAAAACGGGGCCATGAACCCCCCCGGACTCCCGCTACACATAGATGTGAGCGCAGGATACGTGCCAAGCTCTGAGGATTCGGATATAGCTGGGCATTCGGCGTCTGGCGCTCTACTGCGAACTCTGGCTAAGAAGAGATCACCATGAAATTGCTTCACTTTACCATCCTCCTCCAGGTCTCCCTGTTCTCGGCAAGCTCCCTTGCGCAGGCAGGTGGAAACAATACTGAAGTTCAAGTCCAACAAACACTTCCTGGTTGGTTGCTATCTCCTTGTCCTTCCCACCGCTACTCACATCCTCTTGGCAGGATGAAGATCGTGGAATGATGCAATGACTATAGAGGAAGACTGTCTAACTCCTCTCTGCTAGGTACCGGGATCGCTGCCGTCAACTCTGTTAATTTACTACGGATATATAGCCAAGATACTTCGGGTGGCATCCGGGAGGCCAGATTTGAAGGCTATTGGAGCGGAGGCCTCGCAAATGACACAATCGCAAAGGCCAGGGCTAATTCGTCAATTGCTGCCGCCTCCGATGATCTCGAGCTAGTAGGTGACATGTTCTTTGGATAAGAGGTACAAGAGTTCTTCTAGCACTAACTTCATGCTTAAGATCCGCGTTTACTATCTCTTGCCAAACAACACGCTGGGCGAGGCTGCATCTGATTCCCAAAGCCGGTGGTATACCGGTTCGCTTAACCACTATAATTTTCAAGTTGCATCTCATTCAAGGCTCGCTGCAGTATTTGTTCCCAGCACCCAACGTCCTCGATTGCGCATATATGCCCAGTTAGTAGACAATACTATCCAGGAGTTTGGATATGACGGTAAGCAGCCATGATATTTGGCCCCATCTCGCTCCCCGGTATCCCCATTATCTCAGGTAGAGCCGGATGTTTGCTAATCATTTGAAAGTTGGTCGTGGATGGCAACGTCTGGCCAACTTTGGTCCTGCCTTACCAGGCACAGGTGTAGCCGCTTTGACGTATACTACAGGTCTACGAAGATCAACTACTCGGTAGGTCCCGTGTTTCCATTCATTATCGTGATCTTACGAATCAGTTTACCAGTTCTCCCCTAAATTGACCGAGACTAATGATACATTTAAATTTCTCTTCCTTTACAGAGTTTATTTCCAAACCACAGACCGCCGCGTTGTGGAAAGAGTCTATGATAACCAGTCGTGGAGTGATGGGGGCACTGTCGTACGAATGGCCAAGCCACGCACCCCCTTAGCTGCCACCAGCTTCCTACTTACCCCCGGAAACCCGCAAAGCGTCCGAGTGTACTATGGCACTGAGGACAATCGCATCCTTGAAAAAGGGACTGAAGGCGGTACTTACTGGTATGATGGTGCATTTGAGCATTCAGCCATTCCTGATTCCCAAGTGGCTGCCGTGGACTGGGGAAATGGCGGCGTGTTCAACATCAGGCTTTATATCCAGGATGGGGCCTTTAAGAACGGGATAAGTGAATGGGCTTGGTTCCGCCGTTCATGGCGCCGAGGGATCCTTGCAATCCCGCCCGCATAATTTTGTGCCAGTGTACCTAATTACTCTAATGATAAGAAAGGATTTGATGAATGACGTGGTAACTAGTCAACAAGTATAAGCCAAGGTGGTGAGATTAAAGGAGGATAGTTATAACTATAATATCGCAGATAAACCATACCATATTAATCCGGTGTAGTGACGAAGTTACCTCCCCCCAACGGATATATATCTGAGACCCTACGGAGTACGTCTATCCCAATAATTCAAAGAGATGCTAACGTTGAGTAGTTATATAAGCTAAACTATTGATTGAACAAGGAATTGATAGGCATGCCAAGTTATGCGGAGTAATCTGTTACTACTGGCGAGATTGATAACTCCTTGGCATATTCTGTGACAATCTATGCAGATTTACGGGTAGACTAGAGAATAGTGTGGGGGGATGTTTTACTAAGAGCATGGTGGAAAAATTGCTATAAGGACTTCATTGATTTCGTTAAACGCCCTGATTTTGCAGTTGCAGATAGGAATAAGAGATATAGGTAATAAAAGAGTACAGGAAAAGTCTCACGAACGAAAAATAACATAGGAAAGAAGAGGAAACTATATGGTAACAAGTGACCGAGTGTTTTAACAGTCAAGTCGGGGTATCTATCAGTTTTGGCTTTAATTGCTGAAGGGTTGTCAAGTGGAATAAGAGTGATTTAGTCGGCGTCCAAGTTAGCGACTGGAGCGTTGTCATTGACCTGGATACCACCACGCTTCTTCTCGTTGGTGTCCCAGAATGGGAGGTTCCAGCCACCCTCGTTCTCAGGGGTAGAGAGCCAGAGTCTCATGAGGTGGCGGCGAGGAGCTGGTGGTGGGAAGTCCTTGTAGGCAGTACGGGCGTGGAGGACCTGGGAGTTGGAGAGGAACTGGATGTCACCAACATCGAGAACCATGTGGAGGGAGAGGCGGAGGCAGGTGGCCTCAAGGACTTCCATGGCCTCGATCTGCTCTGGGGAGAGTGGTGGGATGATGCCTGCATCGGAGAAACGGCTAAGGGACTGAACGTAGTAAGGGTCCCATCTAAAGAAGCATTGTTAGTTGTCTAGACTTCGTAACAATATCTAAAACGTTTGAGTATGTATCACGAATGACGTAGACTTACTTGGTGTAGACGCGGCCTCCCTTGGGCTCAAGGTACATAATGGCAGCTCTGATGTACTCCTCTTCGCCAACGCTAACCTCACCCTTACGATCAACGTACCAGTTGGGCTTGGTCAAGGTCTCCAGGACATCAGGGCGCTCCTCAGCGAGGACATTGTAGACGTGGTGAGAGGAGATGATATCGGACTCGCCACCCTCGAATGCCTTGGCCACGCAGAGCAGACCAACGATGTCACAGTCATCGGTGTGGAAGAATTGTCTGTTTAGGCCATGTTAGCTTCCGACCCCTGATCACCCGTAAATTTAAATCGGAACTGGGCAAATATACCTAGCGTTGGTTCTGTAGATACGGACTTTGTCGATCTTTCCAGAGTCTTCGCCAAGATCCTTAACGTGTCCCAGAGCATGGCCACGGCTGTTCTGGCTGACGAAGTATCCAAGATAGGTTCCGAGACCCATGTAGGCAATGGCAGCCTTGCGGGTTCCCCATTCCTGGACTGGGAATCCCTTGAAGAGGATGAATCCCTTGCCATCAATGATATCCTTTCTCAAGACTTCGAGGAAGCTGGCGAACTTGGGAAGTCTGAAGTTGTCCTATAATTCAATATATCAGAAAACCCGTCCTTTCTAGAATATACAAAGACCAAACAAAAAGGTAGGTGGAAATACCTTACCTTGGATATGGCAGTCAGGGGGATGCCAGAAGCAACAAAGGCATCGGCAGCAGCGCTCATCTCAGCGCATTCTTCCTCAGTGAAACGATGGGTCCATTTCTCGGGATTGTTCTTGTAGTCCTCGGCCTTCCAGACTGTTGGGCCGGTGATTTTCTTGGGGAATTCAGAGAATGGTCTGATCTGGTCGTAGAGAGGGGGCTGCTGGCCGGTGGTCTTCAAGCCATCGGGGAAGATATCGAGAGAGACTGCAGGCTTCTGGGGAGTGGTGGTCTGCGCAGCAGGAATGTCGTAGGTAACGGGGGCCATTGTGACGGATGGTTGATGGGGGAGAAGAGGGTAAAGTATAGAAGGGAAGGGTTGAGATCTGGGGTATAGAGAGCCGATCAAGAGTCAAAGTTATAGACTAAAGACGGGAGAGTCTGATCACTAGCTTTTTGCTTGTGTGCTTGCGTGCTTGTGAGGGAAAGTGATGAGCTGTTGAGTTTGGTTTGAGAGGAATAGTTCTAGACGAAATGGAATCTTCCATCTCCCTTATATAGCTTTCTCTTCGGCGTCATCCTCAACGGAAGAAGATGAACGATCGGCTTTGCCCAGCTTGCCGAGCCCGTTGTGTCTGTTTCGAAGAGCTGGACACCCCGTTTCCAAGGGGTTGAGACCGACTGCAACACTCTAGGCAAAAGATTACACCACAACGGGCCGCAGGTAGGAGTGTTGGCGCAAGGATGATGCACACAAAGGCCTTGCTAATTGCGAGATCGCCTATCAGATCATGACATCTCGGCGATAGAGGACAAATGAGGTCGGAGCCAATCCGCATCCTCAGAACCGCCGCTGAGTGGGTATGGACTCCCGCCGTGTCGGCGATTGGCAAGTAGCAACTTCAAGGTACGTCGGGTCCTGAAGTCTATGATCAGACAGTGGACATGGGGGGTTACACCCTGCGACACCCAAGTCGGACTAGCAAACGATCCCCAGCTGGTTGTCATCGAAGTTAATTCCCAGCTTGCACTGCCTGTTCTGCTTTTTTGTCTGCCTTTTTTTTTGCAGCTAGTATGGTAAAGTAGAGTTGTGTATATGGTTCGGCCATACAGGCCTCGCTGCACACCAACCAAAGTCTCACGGCGGATGGAAGGCTAATGTCGCAATTCGGCAGGCAAGCTGCGCCATGGCATAAAGCCTCCCCCTATACCCTCTCTCCGTCAGCAGGATCCGGAGAATGGGAAACCAAACCACACTTAATCTTATCGATCTCGGAACCCCTTCTCCACGCCTCACGCGATGGAGATTTGACTCGAGGCGTTTTCCCCTACACTTGGCAGTAGTGAGATTCGTCAAACAGCTTCGGGTTGAAGGAGTTTTAACCAAGGCGGCGAAAAGAAAAATCTCCCACCACCGAACGGGGGCCCGTCGAGCCGACAATGCTTCGTATACTCGGGACGAGAGACTGAGACCACGCTACTGCGTGATGCGCGGCTTCTTGAAACAAGCTTCTTCTCGGTGAATCGCAGCGGCAAAGAGTCGCGCCGAGTGCCCAGAACCCTTCGTTGTTGCAGCAGTTACAGCTGGTTCGTAAACATAGAATGCGATAGAATAATGCTGGAGATTCCCCGTTCTCCTCTCCTTTCTTTTTCCCTCTCCTCCTTTTGACCATGCTCTGCAGGGAAGGCCGGCATTGGGAGGGAAGTAAGCTGCCTGCTGGGCAAGCTTAGCCGCTGGTAGCCTCTGGACACGATATAAAATACTTAATGAAACCAGGGATCCAGCCCTGTCGAGTTTTGACACATTTTGCCGTCAACCGGCGCAAGGATCCTGACAGCCAAGGGACCCTGTCTTGATGTGATCCATATGTACATACCAGTTGATAGATATGAGCTGAACCGTTGTCTCTTGCCGTCGCCGATGGGCTCCGGGACAAAACACCCATGGTCCAGATCAAAACATCCAAGATATATTGAACGGCTCAGAAATACGAAGTAAATTGCTGGTTTTATTATCAGCTTGAATCCAATACTCCTAAAACGAGCAAAAAAGTCAAAGCAAATAGGACTGATTCGCGCTTCGTTATCTAAGTTGCCGTTTTTCATGCAAGGCAGCCTGGCCCGGCCTAAGCACTATGTGGTATGTGTGGTCGACTGCCCAAACGAGCAGTATGTTGGCAGCAGTTGGCCGAGTTATGCCCGTAATAGTGATCAAAAAGAGTTCAAAAATCTAGGTACAAAAAAAGGAATTCGGCGATGTTGGGAAATGCCGAACTCTCGGCTGTTTGTCCACAGGAAATTGCCAAGCTGCAAAGGAATGGTGATCTTGCTCCGACATCCAAACCGTATGTTAACGACCCTGGGCGGTAGTTCCCGTTTGTTGTTTGTTGGGCATTTCTCTAGCTTTGGAATTTACAGGATGGCACAACGAACGTCAACGTAGACAGTCTTCTTATTCCCCTTCCTCCCAGGCTGCCGGAACCAACAATGGTCCGACTCAACCATTCTGGTCAGATTCCGGTCATATTTACCCTTTAAATGGCAGACTGGACACGTCTTCTCCGCGGCCAGTATGGGACCTCCAGCATCAAAGGGCAGGATGCCTTTGGTTTTGAAAACTTTGCATTTAGAAAATCCGGGATCTTTGGCGCACGGCTGACCGATAACTATCCAACGGTGCTTGCAGCTTGGGGACTTGAAATAAACCGTTCGACACATGTCTCGGCGTTATAGGAACCAGTTCCTCCAGAGAGGGTTGTGACTACTGCAAGGCGATATCCTGTCGGACCTGGACGGATCCTAAAACGATGTTTCTTTTCCTGGTAAGCGAGAGCAGCCTTCGTGTTGTATCGTCTAGCATCGCCGGGCATACGGTTCGAGGGCCCAAGCATTCCATGGACTGATAAACGGACGGGCGGACAAGGGTAGCGGCATACACTTGGAGCCTGGGAGGCCATGTCTAAAAGACTTTATATAAGTATAATTCATTCCGTCAAACAACCGTTGAGGCATCTCATTCACACCTCTTCGAGTCTAGTTTTTAGCAACAGGGTCAGCGTGAACAAGGCGACCTCCGGGTGCCTCGCCCTGTTGGGAGGGTGTCATTGAACACTTGCATTTACTAATGCGGGTAATCATGAATCGCCTTTATTGCTATCCCCGTCTCCCTTTCTGATTGTCTGCATAAGCTCGTATAGTTGACCAAGTTGCTGATCTGTTTGAGGCAGTCATCATCAGCTACCAGGTAACATTTACACTCGAAGTAGTATGGATAATTTACCGCTCATTTTGTCAATCTTCGCCTTATCGAGCTTTCCATCTGCCCACGAATCGCCTTCAAGCTGCTGAGCGTAGATTTGCCACTCTGTCAAAAACCCGATCTATAATAGGTGGTTAGTGAATTGTTCCAATCCCCTTGTAGCTGATCGGAATAATCCGGCGGACAAGGGCACCATCTTACAATGTGGATGGGATTTTCCACGTTTCGGTGAGCTCGGAATTCGCTCTTCACGTACGAATCCCCCAGAAACCTCAAATCAGTAGGAAGTTTTTTCCGGTGAGCTCGTAGTATGCGTCGATATAGCGGGATTGGAGGTAGCAGAGCCATTGGCGTTTGTCTTAGTGCCGAACCAGAGGAAATTGACGAGGAACTCGCCAAACGAAGCGGCAGGGAGGGCCTCATGGTCGTTTGCCCTTGTAGCTGTCCAGATGAACGATCAAGCGCGTTTCTTCTGTTGAACTTGAAGCTGTTGAAGCTGTTGAAGTTGAAGGAGTTTTGCTTCTTTTTTCCGCTCTCGTTAAAATAAAAAACATGCCAAGACTTGTCACATGGTTGATTTTGATCTGATAAGACAAAAGAGTTTTAATTCCAAGTATTATTGAGGACCAAAGATGATGTTTGATCGTTGACAGGACATCACCGGATGATAATGAATAAAGAGATGTTGGACATATTGGCCGCTGCTATATGCTAGAATAAAGAGAATAATAGTCGGCCCACAGAGTTAGCTTAGGGATGTTGCCCACTCCGTCGACCTCGCATGTGGCCTTCGACACAATCTACGAACCAGCAGAAGACAGCTATCTCTTCCTTGATACCCTATCTGACATCGATGAGTCCATATGGCTCTCCGAAAGATTTAGCCCGGGAGCATCTGACCAGGGAAGTGGTCCTCTTCCAACCAGTACCACCTCTCCATCGCCAGTTGTCGTTGAAGTTGGGACAGGCTCCGGAGTGATCCTCGGGTTTCTTGCTGCAAACTGCAAGGCAATTCTAGGAAGATCCGACATACTAACTATAGGCACTGATGTGAATCGAAAAGCGTGCAGTGCAACTCGACAGACTGTCAAAGTTGCCATGTCAGACAATTACTCGGTGGAAAACTTCAGAGCTACGCCAGCAAACAAGGAGGGAACGAATGCAAAGGTGCCAAAACCAGCCCAACCCCTTGCTGTGATTACAGGAGATCTCTGCTCTCCATTGCGCGCTGGTATGGTTGATATCCTATTATTCAACCCTCCATATGTACCAACTCCAGAGCTCCCACATCTCCCTTCGTCGTTAGAGGCCACCTCTAGTGCAAGCGGGATGTCCAAATTTGAAATTGAGTCTTATTTCTTATCTCTCACCTATGCTGGAGGTGAACATGGAATGGAAATTACGGACCGGTTGTTGGATTCAATTCCTCATGTTTTGAACCCTGAGCGTGGGGTAGCCTACGTCTTGTTATGTGCGCAGAATAAACCCCAAGAAGTCATGGACCGGATTAATGGGTGGGGAAACGGCTGGAAGACAGAAATAGCTGGTAGAAGTGGTACGAAAGCTGGATGGGAGCGACTAGTTATCGTCAGGATATGGAGGAATTGACGCCGGATATCTTATGTGGCAAGCCTCCCGTGTACCCGGCGACCAGGACTTTGAAAATCGCAGTATATCGCCATGAATATACTTAATGTGAATAGATCAGTTTGGCGTTCTTCAATGTTACTTCAGATCATTGGATGCTATACATTAAATTAGGCCTCTGGTTGTAGTTGAAATGAATCCTTGATCATCCCCTCAAGTGAAAGAGGGTCCCAATCTGTAGGTAGCGGCCCAGGTATTAGGGAAGAAGACTATATAGGTCTCTGGTTCTCATGCCATTTCCCTTTTTCATGAAACCGTACAAGCTTATGTTTGAGATATTCCTGCCGTCTCTTCTTGCCATCACTGGGCATATTTTTGCAACAGAACGCCAAAACCTGGATTAACAGCATTACAAAGTCAACACGCCCCAACAGACACTTAAAATCCACGGCCCCGGCCACGCCCTCTGCCGCCTCCTCGTCCACCTCGTCCTCTGGGACCACCTCTGCCACCGCCGCGCCCACCGCGGTCACTTTCCTTTCGTGCCTTGTTCTTCGGTTTAGGTTGGTCATCGACAAGTAGGGTATCAAGCGGGAGACTGTCGGGTAGGATGTAATATCTTATGGTGGAACCGCGTATGTTTATTGAATCGAGGGAGATGGGGTCACGGCCCTTGGGGGTCATCTTGACAGTGCGCAGCGCGGTATTCATTTGCGGGGAGACAGAAGCTATTGTCCCATGGAGGATGGTTCCTACGGGTAAAAGCTGTTAGACTAATTGAGACATTCCCACGCAGCTGAGTTTTAATCCGTATTTAACGCAGTGTGCGCCTCGATCTCCGTGGTATTGAGAAATCGCAAAGCTCGCGCTGGGGCGTCCGCCCATTAGAGGTACACATCGCTTGGCCACTCACCATTCTTTAGTTCAATTGTAACAGTCTCATTTGCACATTTCATAAGAAACCTATACGCATAGATAAATCATTAGCTTCGGTCTCAAGGAGCTTCGAGTCCTATAATCCTGGCCCAAGCCAGTCGCGCACACACACCTGACAAGCTTCATCTTGAAAATATAGAATTAGCAGCTGGAACGTGTACACAAGTTGAGAAGGGGACCACAGTTATGGCAACAATATGGAAAAATAGATGAGAATCCCTAATATAGCCAGAGAGATTGAGTCTGCAGAGTTGATGATTTGGTCTGTTGATATCTTTATTCGACTGAAGCTTCAAAAAGATCTTATCAATCACGTGACTGATGGGAGCTGAAGCTGATTGGGCCAAGATTATCACTGATCAGGCAAGTTCCAACTTCACCTCTTCTTCTTCCACTGCCTCTTCCTTGCTCTAGTTACAAGAGATACACCCAGAGACTTGGAAGAATACTCCGTTTAATATACCAAAGCTACAGTGTAATACATATAGAACAAGAGGTCATGGCCTTTATGTATTATACCAAAATTGTACGATGACTTGCAGTATAAATTGATATATCTATACTGTATTTTGAGAACTATACTATGAAAAAATAGTATAGATCAAGAATGATATTGGACCATATCCCCTAATACCCCTTTAATGCTATCATTCTACTTATTCAAAATCTTATTCAATTCCGATTATTTAAGCTAAGGTGATTCTGCCTTTTGGTAAACAGAGATACAACTCTTTATTACACATTGCATTAACTGGCTGTCTACTAGCGTGGGCTTACTAGCGCAAACTCCTTTTCGCACAGTCAATATTAATAGATATAAAGTCTAGATGGTGTGTCTTTTATATAAAATTCCTACACTGCAAGACTCCCAGTGTGTGCTCACTCTTTTGGCTCAGTTGTTTTGATATTTTCTGTTTCCTCTAACAAGAGGAATCTAAAGAAGAATATATGTTAAGCTTATACTATAAGGTATTACTTTCACTTCTTCTCTTCTCTATATCCCAGACCCCAAGTCACTGTTTGGTTAATCCAAGAATCAGGGCTTCAATATTTGGCGACTAAGCATGAAAATTATCACACGATGCGATGTGAGGAAATTTGCCTTCATGTCCTCTTCTCCTTTCTTCTTCTTCTTTTTCTTCTTTCCTGTTTTTCTTTCTCTCCTATACCAGACCATCTTCCTCCGTTTGACCTCCACAGATTGTGCCTCGATTACGTTCTTCAAGTACTTGTTCTCACACAGCCGTTGGCTGTTCCCTTCTCCTTCATCTATTTTGCGTGCGAACACTCCGGTCTTCAATCATGAGTGATATTGACTTCCTTCCAGCCACTATATCAGGTGTTAGCTCGACTCTGGGGGCCTTGGGTCTTTCTGTTGATACCCCAGAGTCGAGGTTCGAGCTGCTTGCGGCGGAGCTGCTCAGCCAAATATTCGATTATTTGGGCACGGGCGATATCAGCAACGTCCGCCTAACTTGTCGGGTATTCGCCAACGCTTGCATTCGATACCTGCCCAGAAAGTGTGCAGTTAGCTGCACCAAGGCCAGTCTTGAGAGGATCGAGTATATTGCATCACACCCACTCATCTCTCAACGCATCCAGTCTCTTACGGTAGACTGCAGCCAATTTTGGACCCTCGTTCACGGACGACCAAACCAATCATGGGATTATATACCTGCGGTTGGCCCTGAAGAATTTCCGTGGTGTGAAGCATACAAGAGGATATGGGAAGAGCAGAGACAGATTAAACAAAATGGGAAAGATAACGATATCATTTCCCAGGCCATTCCACATTTTAAGAATCTAAAATCTGTCCGTCTCTGCATGGGCAGATTCAGCGAAGATGGACGTTTGCACCGAGAAACTTACAACTCGGCGTTGGAACACTTCAGCTTTTCCTATGATAGCCCTGTTTCTTGCAGCATTCTTCAGTATCTAATGGTCATGGAACCTTTGCGTGATTCGGGAATCAAGGTGGAATCTCTCGAGTTACTCGATGTTTCTTATGGGATATTCTACCCTATCAGCCGGATAATAGGGGGAATGGAGGCTAATTTCGAGCATCTTACCAACTTGTCCATCCGCGTTCAAGTTCACCCGGACAAAGTGATGAACTCTGCAGAAGGGAAACCAGAGCTTGGACGGGTTCTATCTTACGGCGTGCTGGCAGGATACCTTGAAGCAGCTACACGCTTACGTTCCTTATCACTCTCATCCAAGGATGACCATGGAGGAAGAATGATGGTTTCCGACAACGCATTCTCTTCAAATATCACTTGGGAGCATTTGCATACTCTCACACTCGATAACGTCTGGATCGCAGAGCATATACTGGTTGGTTTAGCTACCCGCCACTGCAAGACGCTGAAGAACTTGACACTGCACAACATTATTCTCTGCGGTTCGTGGTTCACTGCCTTGCCTGCCATTCGTGAGGTTGCTTCTCTTGAAAAGGCAGTTGTTTATGGGTGGATTGGAAATCCAGTGGGTGAATACGCCCGGCGTGAACACTGGCGACTTGGTGTCTATCCCGATAGAGAGTTCGACACACCTTGGGGAGACGACGCAAGAGAGCACAGGCTTGGACTCCAGGTTGCATCGTTCCTATGCAAAGATCCAGGGGTGATTGCACTGCCGTTGAATTATTCAAACATGACTAGGCACTTTTGAGGAAATGCAGAAACCAGGAGCATGAGCCGTCAACTTTTAATGTCGATCAGTTCCCTGCATTTCAATGTTAATTCACCGAGACAAGATTTGATCCCTGCGAATATGCCAAATATACACATACACGTTGTGTTTACCAGGAGTCGGAGATAAGCCCTGCTCAATGCATGCTGCCACGATGGAGGAGGGCAACCTTGTTGCTCAACCGTCTTACTTAAAGCTCCAATGGCCCTATCAGCATTGAATGTACCCTCGACGTGGAAAAAAGGGAAGATAAAAGCCACGAAAAAAAAAAAATTGAGATCGCCATAAGAATTTGTCATGCCCACAGGAGACCAGTCAGAGCCTAAGAGCCTCCAACTTGACAAATACCCCCATGCATTATTCGTATCCGTGCCAGTTAGCCTGTTCAGGTGTATGTATATCAAGACTCATTCGAACCTAAATAATAAGAACAAAAGAAAAGGATTGAAGACTCCTATCACATCCTCGCGAGCCGTTCATCAAAAGCTTAAGAGAGGGTTAATAATAAGACCATCAGTAATCACTTTATTACCGACCAGCCGCTTAATTTTACCATCTGCTAGCCTTACCGTGGTAACACAGCCTTCCCATGTCCTCTTAGTGTCTCCAAACCCATCAATCAAGTTCCTATCCGGCCGGCGGATAGAAGGGAGGGCCCCCGATAGCGCATGGTTTAACCCCATATAGCCTCCTGAAAGCATGGCCAGGGGTGAGTGTGACCCTGAGCCAGGCGGAGCCCTGGTCGATGCCCTGGGCTGCGACTCGTTGCCCTCCAGTAGTCCACTGGGACGGTCCAGGAGATTAACTTGCAACAACTATACATGCATGTGTGAGCTGTGACTGGGTTGTCGCACAGAGGAGCTGGTACATAACTGCTTGGTCGCATGGCGTGCACATCCCATCCCCCTTTTGCATTGACGAACCTGTAATTTGGCTATATGGAACTCCGTCTGGAGTAAACTAAACTGGCTTATCCAGAAAATACTCCATACTTTCCTCAACACATATGAGTCCGGGAGAATCTGTGGAGCGCACTCCGCAGCCCATTCTGCTCCACACTAGTTATACTCATCCATTCAGATACTATGGCCAGTAGTGTTTTCGCATGGGCTTGTGTGGATGAAAGCCGAGAGTTATTCCACCACCTGAAAATGATTAGTAGCAAAATAACAAAACTATACGTAACTACGACATAAGAAGTAATAGACACAAGAGTCCTCGGGGAGGAAAACGGACGTGTTCGGAAATGGGCTCCAGGTGGGCGTCCGAGATGGTCGTCGATTGTAGCTCTGCATCACTCGGCTTCGGAGGCCAAGGAAACAAAAAGAGCAGCCCATCCGGAGTTAGAGCAGATCAGATCTCCGAGGCAAGAGCATGTGGTGGACCAAGTTGGCGGTTAAGCAGCTTCTGTTGACCGTGGGGTGAAGTGGACGGGACGGACGAAGCAAATAATACGAGCCCAAGGGGGCCAAAAGAAAAGCATGCTTTAGTTCTAGATCTGGCACCTGGTCGACAGCGTGCATGCTTTCGAAAGTTGAAGCAGAAATAAGAAAATCTACCACCAAAATATGAAAAATTAATGACGAGGAGGCCTGGAAAGAGCTGTCATGGCTAAACCTGAAAGGGATAACGCTGGGTGTTGCCGTCTATCCAGATTGATGCCAGGGCGGGTGGAGGAGACATGGGGAGGGCATGGGGGAGTCTCCAGGAGATGGGGAAATAACTGGCCAGGGAGTTTAAGACAGGCAGGTCTTCCAGAACCACGCTTGAAGATACAGCTTTCCTGCCTTAATACAGGGACTATTGGTTGGTTCCCTGGGCAGTCGAGCAGAGTGAGGGATGGGAGGGGGGTGAGGATTATCTGCATCATTATTATTATCATTCCATGAAGAACAGATCACCCTTGGCAGGAGAGCAGGAGGCATGACGAACAACCACAAGACACGAAACAGCCGCCGAGACAATGGCGTTCGTATTCCTGCGTACAGCCCTCCCAGGTCGAGGACGACGTCGTACCACCCTCACGCAGAGTGTAAGTAAGTAGAGTCGGGAGTCAACTACTGGTTCAGCGTGTCGATATCCCCATGCAGGCGGAGTGGGAGAAACACAGCACCTTGAGCCATGCGCAAGCGGCTTGCTTTGCTCTCTGCGTAGATCGTGGCTCCAGGGGTAGCATCATCGTAGTATCGAGGCTGGTTCATGATTCAGTGGCCCCCCTTCCCGTCTCCAGAGTGAATCGACAGGCAGTGCACCATCTCAGCCTGCTTAACTCCATCCTCGGGCCGTTAATCGAGGTTTCTGTGTGAGACGGCAGCACGGCGAATCGGGGTTCCGGGGCTGCGAAAGATCGTCGCGCTGGGTCGAACTTCAGGCTGCAGCGGCTGATGCTACCCTTTTCTTGCGTCGCTCTCTCTCTGTAGTACTACTAGTAGTTGTAGTTGTTTCGCGTGTTTCTTGTGTTTGTTTCTTCTGCCGCTCTCGTTGGCTCTGCTTGTTGGATGTTTTGTTTTTTTTGTTGTTTTTTTTTTGAGTTTCGTCCGTCTTCTCCGCCGTGATGACATAAGTCACATTATATAAGGAATTACTAATGTAGACTAGTCCATTTTTGGCATTTGTAGAAACAAGGTTGATGATATAAGCAGAAAAGCACGGAGCAGGGGCCAAGCTTTTAGGTGGGTCCCGTGATCTTTACCCTTTCAGGAAGGGGCAAGGTCCACCTTTTATCTGGACTTTATTATATTCTATTTTCAACTTCATGACGAACGGCAGCAACAACAGCACCGGCCACGAGACAGACAACGAGACAGGAAAAGGGACGGCGAGGAGGCAGAGATACATGCAGGCCGCAGAGATGAGACAGCGGGTCGGTGATCGTCGTCCAGGCTGAGCGTCGGCAGCCTTTCTCGACTGACTATGGGAGCGTCGATGCGCCTAGCAAAACCTACCCCTTACCAGCTCAGCAGCAAACCAGTCGCTGATATTGAGTATTATTGCTCGACGGCCATCATGTTGGCCCGATATCAGATTACTCATTACCGCTCTACGATCGCCAGCAGCCAATGGCGAGAGGGGACAGACCTGCCCAGCGACACCTGGGCTGCTGGAGGGGGGTGGTTCAGCCTGGCCCCTTGGCCCCTTTCCTACAGGCTTTTATTCGCACTCTTTACCTGATCTCCACAAGAGCGGCAGAGGAGAGAGAGAGGAGAAGAGAGCGGGGGGGAGGAAGGGAAGCAAAAAAGAAGCAACATTATAGGGCTGAGAAAAAGGAAACCAAGGATGAATGCAACATGCAATCATCGCACCTAAAGCCGGAGTGCTGGTGTTATTTTTCACCGCCTGGCGGAAACACATATATACATCCTGAGAGAATAGGGTTTTGACTTCCGGTCGACTACTTGCTGCTAGTCTCATGCGGCTGTGCTCTGTCTCAACCCAAATAACATGCATGCCTGCTCGAAAAGGCGAAGGATTGCCCAAGAGCCACATGGGACCCCTGGCCGGACTAGGGTCGTTTAATCGTTTAGCAGGCCGTCGTGGCCGTTCAGGTTCATCGCCCAGGCTCCCGGTCACCCTCTCTGCTAGTCGCTATCGTGCAGGTTGCTCATCTCGGGCACTCGACAACCGCTGGGACTGCGTTAATCTTGATGTTGTACTCTATTTTATTTTTTATTTTTTTTCCCTTCCCTATTCTTTTCCTCCTCAATGTCCCAAACCTTCCTCCCCATTATTCCTCGCAACCCTTTCCCTTCGGCCGTTTTTGTAATAATTTGGAATGTTTTTTGAAAACATATTTAACGGAAAAAGCAAAACAGGGCAACGAAGGGGAGAGCAAACTGGTTGGTAACTTGACCAGGCGTATACATACATATATCTTCTCAACCCTCTCTTCAACTTATATGAACTAAATCGACAACTAAAACAACAACTCGCTCCGAAACAGCCAGCCCAGTCCAGCACTCAATCGATATTATACATACATATATATATTTATATATACGCCTTTCGCGTACATATACAATCATTCACCGGCCAACAAAGAGTACTCCAGTGCAATCTCATCTATATACCTGCTCCTCATGCTTCAGTACAGCAGCAGACCGCACACTCCAGGCACTCGCCGAAGACGAACGAGGAGCTCATGCGCAGATTCAGGCTTGTTCCCATCACCGTCTCCGTCGCCTTCACCTTCACCGTCAACACCGCCAGACAGCTCGTACCGGCCAGACTCGTTCCCCATGGCCGTGCAAAATTGCGAAGCCTTGTTAGGCATAGCCATCCACAATTTGTCATCCACTCCTGACTTTCTCCAGGACTCTACTGGTGCCATGCAGATGCAGGCATCCTCTCCATGCCCATCGTCTCAGCCTTTCGAAATAGGCCTCTCTCTTCGGGGGGTTACTACTCCCTCCTCCCCAAACTCCTCAACCTCATCCACCTCTCTCGGCCATCACTCCGACGCCGCTGAGGCATATAAGTATGACGCTCACTCCCACGCCAATACTTGTGCTAGTGCACACGGGCAATCTTCAGGGTTAGTTGCATTCATAACAATTCATTTATATATTTGGCCTTGAACTGCAACCATCATATAACAAAAGAGACTCTTCTTTTACATTCCAACTGACCTCTTATCATCTTACGTCAATCATACAGGCCTTTCGTCTGCCAGGTGTCGCCTCCCACGCCCTTGTCCGACTTCATGCACGAGTCTCAGCCCATTTCTGTACTAGATTATCCCAACATGTTCGGTATGTTCGGACTGCGGTTTTAACATTTAAACCAGCAGCCTTTCCCTCCCTCCCCATCTCGTACCCAAGTTCCCACCCCCCTTCTAACAATCTCACAGTCCCCGACTACAACGTTGACGGTGCTTCTGCTTTCGATTCTCTTCAATTCAGCAACGTAGACACCCCAGTCACTGTTAGCACAGCGTCATTATCAATGTCTCCACCACTTGGCAATATACCATCCCGTCCATCTAGTGTTTCGGACTCCTTTGGCATCTACGATCAACCACAGCATCACCACCAGCAGCATCCCTCTTCAACTATGCAGTTCAGCCGAGATCAATGGAACATGGCTCTCCCCATTCCACGCTCGACTGTATACCCGGATCAACAGAAGCTGAACAGGGCCATGCCAGATCACTGTCCCGGAAGCAACAGGCAGTCCATGTCGTCTGCACATGGTTACTCAGACCTCTCGAAACCACTAGACATGCACCTCCAAAATCTCGATGGCTCAATACCCACCTCCCAGGCCCAGTATGGCCTCTCCGCAACCTCATACCCACAGTACGTGATACCGTCCAACTCCCAACATATGTCTTGGGAACCCCTGGTTGCTAACATTTCTTAGAGCACCTTATTATACACCTGTCCCTTCACTACCAACCACCCCTCCATCAACAAGCTCTCCAACTTTCTCGTGCCCTCATGCGCAGGCACCTTCCCACTCCCACCACCGAACACCGTCCTCCAGCTCGCCGTCTCCAACAGCTCTAAGCGAAGCTGACCTTCGCTCCAAACCTCAATGCTGGGACCATGGATGCAACGGGCGATCGTTTTCAACTTTCAGCAACCTGCTACGCCATCAGAGAGAAAAGGCTGGTCTTTCCGTTAAAGCCGAATGCCCGTACTGTGGAGCCGCCTTCACTAGGTCGACCGCACGCAACGGACACCTTGAGCGAGGCCGATGCAAAGCCATGAGAGAGGAATGATTCGCTTCACCCATGCTACGATAACGACTCTGCTCTCTTTCTTCATACCTTAACGAAAATCTAATGTCCAAAAAGCGCCCCTTGAGACTTTCCTTACTTTCTCACCTTTGCATCAGGATTACACTTTACACAGTACCGAGTCGTCCAGACATGGGGGTGGGAGGTCCATTGTTGTTGCCTGTCCACTGCGTCCATGATTTAATGTTTCAGCCTAGCGTTCACGTACACCCAACATACTTAGGCGAGGAAAGAGCAAAAAGAGCGCAAGAGCCCCATCTTCCGGCCTCCGATTCACTCCGGAACAGCATTTTCCCTTTTTATGCTGAGATACTCGGAAAGACACGAATGCATCTTCCGATCCATGACATAAAAATGGGGCGAGCCGTTTTCTCAGCCCTCGCTGAGTTCAGCTCATGGCGAGCTCAGTGGTTTCTCTTTTCTTTTTCTTTTGTTTTTTTATTTCTTCCCCCTTGACTTGCAGGGGTTATGGGTTAGACAGGGGTTGGTTGTCAGCGGGGGAGGTTCTCTCTTAAGGTCCCTTTTCCCCCTTCTGTCTGGAGTTCCCCACTTCTCAACGTATATACTATTATCTTTTCTTAAGCTCTCTTTTGTTTTTTCTTTTATTTCCCCTTTCTACAGAAATGGGTGGGAAGCAAGTTTACTGGGAGTATTGGCGACTGGCAGACTGGCAGGAGTTTATGAATGTGTGCATTAACATGTCTTGTATATGGTTGTTGATACTTTCTCTTTTTCTTCCATAGAAAGCGAGCGACCCTTTTTTTTAACTTTTCGTCTTAACTTTCCCGATGTCAATCTTATTTCTAATTTTAAACCTTTTTTTTTGTGCATGCATAAAGCGAGATGCACGTGACTTAACTCCGGGCCCCGTGACTTTTCCTTTTTGCGACAAATCGACATCGCCATCGACAGTCAGTATAATAATAATAATATTCACAAGAGTACGAAGAACTGTACGGAGTAGGGGAGCTCGAGCATGGAGTAGGTAAAGCGAAAAAAAGGGTACGTCATCTGTCCCATGAGCTGCTTGGTGACTTTCTTGCTGCTCGCAGCTCGTCACCTCCAGCTCCTGCATAATCCCTGCCAGCCAGCTCACAGAATGTGTCAGTGGGCGGCTAAAACCTCCACCGCTTATCTCCTAACTCCAAGCTGAGAATCCAGTGCAAAAGTGCGAGATCTGAGCGGTGACCGGATGAGCAGCGGTGCATAAGTCCGCTCTCTGCAGAGGGCCACATGAAACCTGCAGCCATTTCTAGTACGGCTGAATAGCGTTCATCGCTGCATATATTTCCCGCTTAGGATACAGCCCTCAACACTAATAACCCATACCTCGCAGCATTCCAGTCCATCCGGTCTAGTCAAGCTTGGTCTTTGTGCAACAGTCGCTGGCTCATAACCCCGAGGCCGAAGTTCCGAGCGAGCGGCCCCCGAAGTGAGGCTTGAGCCACGATTCTCGCATCATCTGGCTCGTAGCACCCTTGGCCCCCAATTTATGATACAAGAGAGCATGACCCATGTCGGTAAGTGGCCAGGGCTGTTGACTTGGATTTGAAAAGCCAGATTGCGAACCTAGCCTGGCCCTTTATCTTCAGAGGTGGAGGAAGAAAGCGCTTGGGTAACTCGGCAGCCGGGAAATTTCGCTCTGGGAAGTCGCATAACTACACAGTGTAGTTATACCACCACATTTACTCCGTGACTAGAGCGTTGGACACCAACAGCACCAACACTCGCACTGTCTTTTTTTTTTTGGCACATCGTGCGACAGGACTTGGGCATGTAACTGACCCTTTAACTTGTCATTTAGTCGAACGTACATGCATGCATGGGCTGCGTGGCTGCCAGGGTCCGCCGGCCACGCGCGGTCAGGCTACATATCAACTCATGATATTAGTTATACGTTTTTGGTCGAAGGTCTCTGGGAAACCAACAAGCCTTTCGGGTCATCTAGAAACGGAAAGGCGCGCATAAATGTGCAACAAACTCTCCCCCTTCCAGGTCTGTGGGAGTGCCACGTTCGGCCAGCAACGAAAGGGCCCCCAAGTTAGAGAAAGATGAAACATACTCCAGCCCTCTCCTGTGCAGGTTCAGTGCAGCCTTTCCATCTTAATGGTCAACTACGGCCCCATTTCATCTATAATATTCTTATTTTCTGATGGATTCCCCCCATGGTCCTTGTCATGCCATGCCACTCCCATGAACCATTGATATCAACAGACGAATTAGCTTCGTTTCGTCCGCCATTCGACGGAGCGGGCTCCTTTGACACGTGGACGGCGTGGCTCCCACGTTTGTACCCCCCTACCCTTGTCCTTGTCATTTGTCCTTGCAGCAAGGCTATGAGGAGGACTCTCTTTGCGGTATCAAAACATCATTCGTCAACTCACTCGGCCAGAGCACTTAAGACAAGGAAAATCTTTAGCAAGCAGCCCAGTTTAGAATACTTAAGCATCCTTTCTATTGCCGGCAAATCCATCCTCCATCATATAAAATTACTCCAGAACGCACATGGAACCTCCACTTCCTTCCTCCCGAATAGCCTACCACAGAAGTACACACCTCCTTGCCCGGTTCAGAATAATACACTTTCCGCATTCTCTATGGAGGGCCTTGGAATTTTACATTTCTGCAGATATTCTAACTCCCCACCCTCCCCTGTGTCTTTTTGTTTTAGGGGGGTACAACTGATGAGGTTCAGATAGGTTACTTCTTTCCCCATGTCGATCGGATGGAGCCTGATGCTGAGATAAAATTCATACCCAGAATAAAGCCAAATACCCACGACCCAGCCGATGGGCCCAAATCGACATGGGCCTCAGGACAAACCCTTTCTGGTAAAGTCCTGATCATGGATCCTGAACTCCTAGGGTGATATCTTCTTAACAAATAAATTATTCCCGGGAGTTGAGGCTCGGGTGTAGATCCTGGTGGACGCCACGAGGCCGCTTTGCATGCAGGATTTGAAAGCCGGATACTTTGACTTTTAATCTGGAGCACGTATATTTGGTAAGTTATTATAATAGTGATAAATGATGCTAGTTAATTCTAGTTTGTTACTGATAGAGGTCTAATCAATCTCGCGTGTGATAATTGCTTATTATGTCCTATGTATTTTTCACTGGAAAGTAAAGACGGAGTATTTCATGCAAGCCAACGTTTACAAAAATACATGTACGTGAAATGCTTTAGCTTTCGTTTCATATATTAATTTCCTTGATTTTGCAGTTTTACTTGATGAATTAACCATAGCATCTATTTCACGCCCTTGATGTAGATTAGAAATAATAATATCCAGATAATCTGGCAGCACCTCCTTCCTTACCATAGAGAAGAGTGCCTTGTTTTCCATACAGAGATTCCCTCAGACCGTCGTCGACAAATAGTCGAAGGCCTTTCTCTCTCGCCATATGCTATATACCTTGAAACAACAAAACCAGATAACAAAGAGCCGGATAACAAAACCGACAAAAAGCTTGATGACAGCCCCACCAGCATGGATATCCAGACAAGACTGCAAACTAATTGCAGGAGAGATGTAAGATGTTGTAGCAATTCTAGACACTGGACTTGACTTTGGGCATATCTCTCTCTTCCTCAGCGCCATATAGCATTTCCAATGTAAGTACCACATACTCTATCACCACGTCTACGCTCTTTCATGAACCCCATAGACGCATGATCGCATATCTAACTTAATAACCCTATGGATCAGATATTAAAAATGGCAACTAACAACATTGTTGCTGCAACAACCAATGATCCCAGTCCAGCTGCCCCTGCCCACATCAGAAGACAAAAATGGGCGCAAGACGCGCTGAAAAGCGCAGGCTGGTCAAGGAGCAAAAGAAGAGGCAGGGGAGAGAGGTAGAGGGTGTGGTTATCAGATGGTATATCGTCGGGACTGGGCCTCCTGCCCACTATGACGATATCTGATATTCCATTACCGAGAGTACAGATGGCACATGACAGGGAAAAGGGGCTGGATTACCACCTTGCTCTACCATCGTTGGAAAATTAGGTGGAAAAGGATGTCTGGCCGCCCTCAGAGTAGTTAACTACTCCTGCAGATACCCCGGCATCTGGTGACTGTACTCTAATACTGATAACATGATATCCTGATACCCGTACTATAATGTTATTATAGTAATATCACTGTTAGCCGTAGATGCCCCTAGAGAATATATCTCAAACAGAGTGATAGAGGAACCATGCTCCATGAGCCTTTCGAACGGGACTCATGTAAACTACCTGTATCCCGTCCACCCGGTTCCCGTCCTGCTGCTGCTACTGCTGTTACTGCGCGAAGGTTAATGAGCACAGGACATCAGATATCGATGCTTCTTCTCCTCTTGCCATCCATTACCTCCGGCCTTTCGCCTTAACCTCTGAAATTAGCCGCGGATGTTGCGCTTAGCACTACCTAAACGCGGGGCTTTCCCAAAAGAGACAACGCAAGCAACGTGATCAGACGCGCGCGTAACCCCGTGTATTCCTCGTCCTCTTCGTCCTTCGTCTTCTTCTTCCTTCACTTCTTCCTCCTTCACTTCATCATCATCTTCCTCTTCCTCTTCTTCCCTCCTTGCGTTCCTTAGTGTTTCTGTTACCATCACACTGATCGATTTCTTAAGCTTATAGCTCTCCTC